CTTCTTGGTGGTGCATACCCTGGGAGGCAACTCAAGGAACTGGGTCCAGGTCAGGTGTGGGGGACACCTGGTCAATTTCCTGGCTCCTGGATTCGTCTTGGCCCAGCCCTGATTACTATGGGCAGTGGGGGAGTAACCACTGGATGAGAGATTGAGCAAATAAATTTTTAAAAATTAAAGAATTAGTATTGAAAGCGGTTGGCACAATAGCCTAGTGGCAAAGGTCCTCACCTTGCATGCCCAGGATCCCATATGGGCACTGGATCATGTCCTGGCTGCATCACTTCCCATCCAGCTCTCTGCTTGTGGCCTGCAAAAGCAGTAGAAAACAGCCCAAAGGCTTGGGACCCTGAACTCAGGTGGGAGACCTGGAAGAAACTCCTGGCTCCTGGATTCAGATCAGATCAGCTCTGGCCATTGCAGCCACTTTGGGGAGTGAACCAGCAGATGGAAGTTCTTTTTATTTGCCTCTCCTCTCTGTAAATCTGTATTTCCAATATCATAAATAAACATATCTGACAAAAAAAAAGAATTACCATTGAAAGCCTATAGTGAGGCTGTTAACCATGCACCTGCAAGTAGTGGGACCATACAAGTTAGCTGAATTTGGCTTTCTGCAAACTACTCATTACCTTCCCCAATGGCACCCACTTCCTTCCTTTGATGTCTCTTGTCTAGAAAGAAATGAGCTTAAGTAATCTTTCTCTCTACTAAATCCCCTCTAATTTCCCCTAAAGCCTGCAGTCTTTAAGGTGGCTTCAAACTGATTGACAGCATGCTGGGTTCCAGCCCTGTGGCTGTAAATGGGAGAATGGACTGAGAAGAGCCCTGGAGGTCAGGCTGCCACTCTGTTTCCCCTGGGTTTCCCAAGGTTCAGTAAGGACAGAGATGACAGTACAATTTCAAACTCCCTGTGTCCTGCATGTGAGTAGAACCTTCAAGCTCACCCTGAGGACTAACCTTAGGCAGAATTGCAGAAGGATGTGTGGAAGGGCACATGCTCTGTCCTTTCTAAGTGCACCTGCAGATAAGTGACATCTCCTGGGTCAGTACACCCACCTTCATGCTGAATGCACACCGTTCCTCCATCGCTTGCCTTTCCCCTTCCAGGAGGATAGGGGTTACTTGCCCAGTGCATAACAAATGTCCTTCTGATTAATAGCTAAATGTGTTTTCTTTTGAGAGGCAAGAACAGAGAGCTCCCATCTGCTGTTTTTCTCCCCAAATGGCTCAACATGGCCAAGGTGAACCCAAGAGGAGGAGGCAGAAACTCCATGTAGGTCCTCCACTTGGATGACTGAAACCCCACTACTTGAACCATCCATGCTGCCTGTCAGGGTCTGTAATGACAGGAGGCTGGATCCAGGAGCCAGTACTAAACCCAAATACTCCAACACAAGACTTGGGCTTGTTAACTAGCAGCATTTTAACCATTAGGGCCAATGTGTGCCCCATATATCTGCATCTTGGTGGGTGTGCCTGTCTCTCGCCATCTAAGGAAATCCTAGCATGTTCTTTAGATGTAGTAGGGAAGGGATGTTTCTTGTAACAGACTGGAAGAAGGTGCTCAAGGTAGGTAGGATTTGGAGGTGAACCTCAAACTTTACCTAACACAGGATGCTCCCAGACTCCAATGCCCTGCTTCCAACTCCTTTCCCTCCCAGTTTGCAGAGGCAAAGCCCTCCTCTGCCTCCTCCCCCGACAGAGCCATCTCCCTCATACCCAAGGACCGCTCGCACTGTCAGGCCAAGCATGCCAGCTGAGGTCTCAGGAGAAGCTTACTGTTGACCTGCATCTGAGAGGAGCACAGTTTGCTGAGAGTATAGGTGCTCAGGTGGTTTTTGGATAGGAGCTCCTTGCACACACCCTCTCCAGGAGTTAGCATGGGGGAGTTGGGGAGCTGGCGCCTTTTTGCCTCACCTCAGCTGACTTTGCAGGCACCTGCTGGAGTGCTGCAGGCGGGTGGGAGTACACGAAGGTGGTACCTACCCAAAGCTATTTGATTACTTTAGGGTTGAAATCAACAAGAGGCCAGCATGCAACCCAGGTGGACTTATCCCCAGTACCAGGAAAACTGTGGTAGGAGGAATCTGCAGACTGGAGTTTTTCCGTGAGGGGAGTCTCTGGCGGGTCCCAACACCGTGGTTTGCAGCTGACTTGATGTTCTCTGCATAGGGGGTTGTTTTTCACCCAACTACAGTTGAGGAATTGTGTGATCATTCTTTCTTTTTTTCATAATGTAGTGCTGCTCACAATTCCTCTCCAGCAGTCACGTTGTCCTGAACCATTCCGGGCACAAGTGACGGCTGGGCATCACTGTCCACCTGCCAACAAAGGAGGCAGTGAGCCAGAGCTTTCCTCTATCTATGGTATGTGGACTGAGACCCACACCAGCCTTCAGAGATAAATCCCCTCATGCTTATTGTACCACACTGCTAACTTCTTCCAGCATAGATACTCCAAAGAAATAGCTCACCTGAGCTCACTTATACTTCACTTTTTATTTTGAAACAATTTGGTGGATGCATCTCACTTAACAAGAGGGCAGTGTGCTCTGTGGGACTCTGACCTGAACGCTGGATTTCACTCTGTCTTTACGGCGGTGCCCATCCCAAAGGAGAGCCCTGTAAGGCTTTTGATGTGCTGCAGTCTCACATGAACAACCAAATCTGGTGTTTCAGGATCAGCTTGTTGCTACCAGATTCCTAAAGACTGTTCAGCAAGAACGGGGCTCAGCAGACATGCCAGTGTCAGCACATCCGCTGCCAGTCAGAGAGACACACCTGGCCGGATCACAGACACCTGATGGGAAACGTGGTCCCCAAAGAGACAGACCATATCACACAGTTGGCAAACCTGTGTGCTTTGTCATCATTCAGAAGGAAGTCAGCAAACTCCCAGGAACCCCATGATTTTACTCAGCAAACAGGTATTAAGCCTGTGGATCAAACCAAATTTTCTTTGAGGGGTAGTGATGCACAGAACAAGATTTGATTTTCCTAATAAATGTATCTACTGAAATGACTGCTTACTCAAAAGACGCGTCCCAGTACTTCCCCTCTCAACATAAGCCCTGTGGAACCTTGCAGTGTCCAGCCTCCTGGCCTCAGTGATGTGGCACTGACAGGGACTGTCAGTACTCTCATTTCCAACCACACAGGTCACAGCACACAGGGGAGCCTAGTATTGTGTGTAAGCAGGGACAAAGTCTATTCAGCAAGGAGGGAAAAAAGAAACATTCATGTGAGAGTCTGGGTCACCCCCACTGAGAAACACCCAAGCTGAGTGGGTCAGAATCACCCCTAACTGAGAGGAAAGGAAAGACTGAAAACAGTATCCCTAAGGGAGTTAGGGAGAACCCTGTCCGAGACCAGTCCAGGGCAGAAATACAAGAATGGCACCTCAAGGTACATTCTCGGCTGGAAAGAGAGTCTTTCCACCTTCCATATCTTTTTGTAAATAAGGCAATGGGCTCCCAATCAGCTGTACAACTGGGTGGGATCTGAGGATATGTCCTGGGCCCAGATGCAGGTGTCTGGGAAGCTAGACATATCAAACTAACAGTTAAAGAGATAGGATTAGATGGTAGGAGTACAGGGTTCCCAGCTCACCTCAACTTAAGTGCCTAGCTCTCTCGGTCAGCGTGAAGCAGAAGGAGTCAGGCACTGCTTTAGCAGAAATAACGCATCAGCAGGCTTGATGGTGATTTTTAATAATCACGTGCAATGCTCACAGGGCATTGAAATAAATCATGTAATGTTCAGCTTCACAGTCTTAGAGGAAAAATTATCTATTTTACCAGAGATTATGGGGTTATTAGTTTGTTTTTTTTTTTTCAGTGCATGTGTGAAAAGCCATTGGCTTTCTTTTTTGCTTTCATTAAATAACTTGCCAGATTTGGGTCATGTTGGCTAGTGGCTGCCACCAAGTGTATAGCCAGTCAATGAATGTGCAGTCATAGACGCCGTGAAAATGGCCATAAACCCTTTTAATTTGATCTTGGCTTATACAGTGCTTTAATCAGCACTAGAGAGAATTTGCTTTAGTTATTATGGAGGCAGAATGAAATATAGCTTCAAATGAAACACAAATGGAATAATACAATTTTCTCCTCATTTTCAATGATTTCCCCCTCTAAATAGTGAAAACCCATTTCTCAAGGCCTGTGCATCCTACTACTAAACACCTCAAATTTTAGTGTGGCCTATCATGTTATTGTGCACCTTTTCATAACTTAGGAAGAATGACATCGGGTGTTTATTTCTCTCTGCAGTACCACGCACGACTGCGTGGTCAGAGAACGCCACTGGCTGCAGAGGCGACATTAGAAACAGGACCTGCAGGTAGGGTCAACTTGCTCTTCAGTACTGCGGCTCAGAATCCAGCTGAAGGACACTACACACTTGCTGAACTCATTCTTGAGGAAATCTGACATGTGTGAAATCACCCCTGTGCACCTTGAAATGAGGGTGTCTCCCTTGGTCCACCTTCAGTTGGCATGAAGTTGGGTCTAGCAGATAAAACGAGGTTAGGACGACTGCCTGGGTTTGAGTCCTAGCCCCACTCCTGATTCTAGATCCTCGTGCATATTCCAGAGGCCACAGTGATGAGGCTCTGTCGCGTGGGAGACAGAGGTTGAATTGTGGACTCTGGGGCATTTGGGAAGAGAGCCAGAAAGGGGGGTGGGGTGGGGTGTGTGTGTGTGTGTGTGTGTGTGTGTGTGTGTGTGTGTAATTCTTGTTTAACCATACAGAGTATTAGGGTATTAAAGGTCAGCCTGTTAGTATCTCACAGGCTGGCCACCCTTTACTCTTCTATTATCCTCACCTGCCCATCCCTGCCAAGCCAACCTGCCTCACAGGTGCAGGTCCTTCTCTTACTGCCTCTCATCTTGCTCGCATTCAGGTCAGCTCCAGTTCATCCCCAGAGTGGCCAGCCTTAAAGCCCATCACCCTCAATTCTTGTCCCAGGAAGCTTTGCAGAGTCCCATCCCAGCCTTAAGCTCTGCACAGTGGCAGTATCGTAGCCAATGAGGTTTATCCAAGGCGTGGTTATTGCTAATTGAAAAATGTCCCCATCCCAGCCTTAGACAGTGTGGTCGTGCTGCCTGGTGCATGCTACATGTTACTGTTTCCAGACAAAGGCCACCTTCACCGCCCAACTCCCAACTGTTCTATGTGCGCAAAGAGCCCAAATCCACCTGCCCAAAATGTCTCTGGTTTCCAGAAACAAAAGAAAGGGAAAATGGTGTGATTGGTTGGTTTTAATTGTCTCTAATCCCTTATTTATTGCTTCTGTCATCAGCCAGCTAGCCAGCCAGCCAATCACTCTTTTCAATCATTTATTCAGAGTTCCTGAGATCCTCCTTAGTCCAGAAAATATTCCAGAGCTTAAGGCACAAGAAAACAACTTTCTGCATTGGGGAAAGTTATGGAGTCCTCTCCTTTCAGAAGTAAAATAAAACTGCTGTGGAGGTCGCACCAAAATAACCCAGAGGTGGGCACACAGCTCCTTGAAGGGAGCAGAGCAGGGGCTCAGAGGGAGCAAGACCCCCAGACCTGATGAAACACAGGGAGTCCAGGACAAGCAGAGCCAGTGCCTAGGTGGGGGTGGAGAGGCTCCCAGTAGCTGGGGAAATGGTTCCTCTGTCTTTTGGAATTCCTACTTTTCATAGCCCAGATTGAGTTGCAAAATGCTGGTACCTGAACCTCCTTTATGGGGCTGTCTCTCCTTCTGGCAGGTGGGGGCTCCTCTCTGGTGTTTTTGGATAGGTGGTGTCCAGATTACCACATCCAGCCACCTGTCATGGGTTAGCGCGTCTGCTGTGGGCACAAGGTCCATGGAGGATGCACCAAATTTGTCTTACTCATTGCCTGTAAACATTCTTCGCTTCTTGCTCAGTGCCAGTCACCTCAACGCCTACCAACGGGGAGACTGATTCCCAGTTGACATCTCAGTCCTAAGCCTAATGGGGCCGAATTTTCTAGGGAGGAAGTTGATAAATACCCAGTGTCATTTCATTGCACAAGTATAAATCATCTTGAACTACATACTCGTAGGAGAGAAGGAATCTGAAGGATGTTCATTTCCCTTTGATTTTTCACACTGACGCCGTGTTTTCCACTCTGACAGATGGAACTGCTCTGGCAGCCCAATGACTCAAGGCCCCTGGGCCAATCTCTTTGGGTGATGGTCTCATCCACTTATAAAAATCACTGCTGGGTACATTGGTTCTCCTTCCCAGTAAACACACCAGTATTGATCAGCATGGTAGAAATATCTTCTCCAAAGCAAAGCTAAAACTTGCCTTTTTTGTAGTTCAACACCATTACCCTAAGAGATGACTTCATTTTCTACAGCAGACTATCCGTGACCACCTTTTCAGAAAGCAGTATTCCCTGGGATGACAAAGGAAAATCAACTCAGAACTGGCTGTGTGCGTACAAGACTCCTCTCTTATCTTCACTCACCAGAGAAAAAAACAGTCACCAGAGAAAAAGGCTGGCATGCCACTTCCCAAAGAGCATATCTAACTCAAATAGTGGAGAAGTTTATTATTTGCTTCCATGACTATAACACCCCTAGGGCCCATGTTGTGCCATAGTGGGTTAAACCACTGCCCACAGCACCAGCATCCCAAACAGGTGCTGGTTCAAATCCTGGTTGCTCCACTCCTGATCCAGCTTCCTGCTCATACACCTAGCAAAACAGCAGAAAATGGCCCAAGTCCTTGGACCCCTGCACCCATAAGTGAACCAATGAATGGAAAAGAATGAAGACCTGTCTCTCCCTCTATCTCTGTCTCTTACACACACACACACACACACACATGCATGTATGTGTAACTCTGTCTTTCAAATCAATGAATAAATCTTTACAGGAAAAAGGCACCTTTAAAGTCTGCCCTTGCTATTATTTCCTTTCATGTTTTCCAAAACATACCTTCTGCTGTAATGGCCTTGAGTCCCCGGGTCCTGATTACCCACGCTGGTTATCAATGCAAATAGCTGTGCTGGCTAATTAGAGGAAAGCATTTTGGCTAAATTGCCATTCTGCACTGAGAACTCCGTCTTAGCCCAACCTTTGCAAGTAAATTGAACCTGCTGAGTTTGAAAATGAGAACACGAAGCACTCGTAGGCAGATTTGCTCCCATCAGCCTTGCCTTTGTGGCCCCCGTCTCAGATGGACTTGAAACAGCCACTGCAAGTGGCCATGCGAGACACAGCCCATGACTCCGTAACACCTCCCTCCATGGCCAGGTTCTCACACAGCGTGGAAAGATTCATTTCAGATTATCTTCACTGCCAGCAATTGCTGCGCCTGGAGTCCCCAGCCCTGGAAAGCAAAGTTTAAGTTCCTTTCCTTGAGATGTCTTTTTTCACAACAAGGTGTTAAGGAAGTGCTTTTGTAGACTGTGCCTCTCAGTGAGGCCTCTCCTGAGTTCTAAAAATAATGAAAATGGCTCACAATTAGGTGCTGACTGGAGACCATGGAGAGCACCCAGGGCTGCGCTGCACCAAGAATTTGTCATTTTCAATCAGGATATTTAACTTATGGATATAAAATTATGGCTTATCAGGAAAAAAAAGAGGAGGAGGAGTGGAAGACAGGCGGGGGAAGATGCTGGTACACTGCCCAGACATTTCCCATCGCGTAGAAGACATACCAGTTCAGGTGGAGTGGAGGCCTCTCCCTCCCCCAGCATAGGTGCTCTGCCACCTGTCACCACCCCACCTGGCTGCCTGTGGGCTCCACAGTTCCCCTTTCTGACTTTAACATCCTTCAGTTGATTGCTCTCCGTCCTTATCTCACAAGAGATTGATTTCTGTGCACAAGGAATAACAAGCAGCTAACATTAGAACTAAACATATTTAGCACCAGTGAGAAAGCTCTGGAAGGAACAGCTACTGACCCAGCATCCTGCAGAAATGCTAGCATTTTGTCTATAATACTGCCCTAGGGGGTAAGCATCTTCAGACTGTGCCACTGTTCTGTCCTGACCACTCGTCAGTTCCACCTCACCCGGGTGCTAAACTTGGGCTAAGCAAATCTGAATGCCAATCGGGGGAAAGGAAAATGACTCAACCGAGGGCAACAAAACAATTCCAATGGTTGAAGTGTTGCAAGATTGACCTGAGAGTCTAGGCTTGAGGATTTGGGCTTATTAAGCCTGAGAAAGAGAGAGCCCTGGATGAATTGACTCAGAGCATTAAGAGATGCTATATGAGCAAGGCTGAGCAGTGCTCTCTCGTGCTGAGGAGGGAGCATATGGGGATGGCCTTCCAGTGGACAAGGAGGAATTTGCTTCCAAGGGTAAAGGGGCCAACAGGGATGCCCCTCCTCCAGAGGAGCACACCCAAGGTATCCAGGGCCCTCCCACCCCTACGTGTTGTGCCTAAACAGACAAGGCAGGGTTCTGTGCCAGGTGGTCTTTGAGGGCATGGTGCATTCCTTTGAGTTCATAGAATTAGAGAAAAATCTTGCACGTAACTAGTGAATTCAACAACAAGAACACATCGCTCCCAGCCTTCAGAAACCAAACTACAAGAACACGCACTTTTTGACTATTGAATTAGCACCTGGACTCTCAGCTGTCCCCGCAATCATCCCTTTTGTAGGCTGTGATTGCAAACTCACAGCTATTAGTCCACTGCGGCACTTTAAAACTAGCACCGCTTTCCTGCCTAACACCGGCAGCAGTTTGGTGACTGGAGTGTTTCCATGGATACGTTTCCTCTTTGCTACTAAAGGGCACATAGTACATAGAAGGGCATCCCCACATTTCAGGAAAAGTCACTCCTTTCCCAAATACCTATGCCAAACCAGGACCGATGGGAGTTCACTTGGTGTGCAAAGATTGGAAGAAAAAAAAAAAAAAACAAGATCCAGAGTTGGGGGTTGGGGTTGGGGAGTGATTAGGGCTGGACGTGCAAACCTATTATTAAAATGTAACTTCTTGACCGTGGTAAGCAGGTGGCAGTGGAGCATGAGGTAGGCAAAGCCACCTGGAAGCATCAACTGTGTGAGGGCCGAATACAGCTGTCTCACAAGAGGGCTGGGGGCAGCTGAGCTCTGCCCACTGGTGCAGTGGGCTTTGCAGGCAGCCACATTACCCTTACTAAGCAAAATGTGCTGGGGCCCATTCCCCAAGCAGAGCAGTTTAAGCTGTGTCCTGCAGCCCTGCCATCCACTCCAGTGCGCCAGGACCTCCAGTGCACCAGTTCAAGTCCTGGCTGCTCCTTTCCCAACCCAGCTCCCTGCTAACACACCTGTGAAAGCAGTAGAAGATGGCCCAGAATTTTGCCCCTCCCCACACTCACACAGGAGACCAGTATGGCTATCCTGGATCTGGCTTAGCCAGAGCCATTTGAGGAGTGAACTGGTCTCTGTCACTCTGCCCTTTAAGACAATAAAGCTTTGTAAATAAGCCTGCTGGTGCTGCTCCTGCATAGACTATAGCTCCCAGCAAGCCTGCCAATGAGACCCTCTCGGTGGCCTCACAGCCTCATCCTTGTCTGACCTGTGTTGCTTGCCTGTGACCTTGTTAGAGCCACTGACTCCCACACAGTGGCTGGCACAGAGTGGTTGTGTCATAAATGCTCACAGATTAATTCATTAATTAGAGAGCTAAGATCTAGTGGCAGCTGAGTGTGAAGTTTACATGAATGGGAGTCCTGTGGTGTATGTTTTGCAGTAGCCCTGGTGTCCACAGATACCCAGTCACTACGGCTCCTCCTCTGGTGATCTCCCCGCTTGTGAGCTCAACCACCCACTCCCCCTGGATCCCTGCCCCTCAGAGGGACTCTCACAGTTGAGAGAGGTCCTACTTGGCTGCTCTTCAGAAAGTCAGATTTTCCACTGGTCTACCCTCTGTGCTCATGATTTTAAATCACCCCCATTAGATTGTATGGTTCGTTTGGGTCTTTTCATCCAGTTTTGCAGGCATTTGGGGACTGTTCTTCAAGCACCTAACTTAGTTCTTTAGTAGCTAGGAAGTTTCATCTACCTAACAATGTGCCCTGCTAAGTGCTCAGTAGCATCAAGTCTGAGAGAGCAATGTGCATCCCTTAGCACTCTCCTGCTAAAACACTGACCATCACCTCCCACCTCTGTTGATGGTCCCAGACTGATCAGAATGG